TCATTTGGTTTCTGTTCCCCAATAGCTGAAAATAAAAGACCACACCATTGCTTGTTGAAACAAAGGAAATTTTTTTGTTGTGGAAAGGATATTTAGAAGCAATTTGATCTACATTTATTATCATCTTAATGATAATGTCTAAAATATAAATCATAATTGTGCAGAAGTCTGTTGATTTGATAACATGTTTAGAGGGACTGATTGTTGCTATTAATTTATTTTTGACACTTTAAATAATTTAACTTAAAGCATCATGTTATTCATCCTTTATAGTTTAACAACAACTAAAATCAAGGTTTTTGGGTGTGTTTTATATTTTTTCTGCAGTTGATTCACAAGAGTCTACTCTGTTTACAAAAACTAGTGTGATCTAATAAGAGGTAATTGGGACAGTATATACAGCTAGTACTTTTATTTCACTCACTCCTACACAGATATTAATATACTATCTGAATAAAAACAGTGAACATTATAAAACACTCTGTGAACACCAGGTTACTTAGTTAAGCATTTATATGGATTATATCATAATTATTTGTTGTAGTCATTATATTCATTTTACAAATACAGAAACTAAGGATTAGAAATGTTAATACATTCAAGGTCACAGCATCAGTAAGTGATAATTATGGTTCAGTGGAGTCATCCTTTCCTTTTAAAACCATTTCTCCCTTTTATAAACTGTTTTATTGTAGAATATATATTTTATATAATCATAGTCTATTTGCACTCTGAAACTATAATTGACATAGTAACCTTACTTAAAAATTTTCATTTACTACTCAATTCTATATATGCTGAATTATACACAGACTATTATAGGATGTAAGGTGCAGCTTAAAAATCAGCTAAGTATTTAGAACATATATAAAGGTAATTTGAATGTTATATAGTTTCTAAAAGGTAAATTTTATCAGTTTTGTCATAATAATTATAATAATAGTATCCTACTGTCCTTTTTATTCCAAAGAACATCTTATTGTTTTATCACTCCTTTTTTAGACACACAGAAGCAGATACTTTCACATGAAGAAAATTAGACAGATCATAGTTCAATTCCACTTCTATGTACCTCCTCGCTCTGGACTGTACTTATGAGGTTGGCATTCTGTTATTGCTGTTTTGAATTACAAAGTCGTAAGATATTTGTAGATGGGGGCTATAAAATTATCCAAACTCACTGCCTGAGTGAAGAAACAGGTTTACTTTAACATAACACTTCTGAAATAAATGTAGAGATGCACCATGCTGTCTTCATTAAGATCACAGTTGCCCATAGACAGATCTATAGATTCAAATCAATCCATAATCAGATTTTTACAGGAATTGATAAAATTGATTTTAAATTACATAGAAATATAAGTAAATCAGAGTATTAAAATAATTTTGAAAAAGATATACAGAGTTTGAGCACTTGCTTGCCTAGTTTGAGGACTGACTATATGTCAAGACTCATAGGGCAGTATGGTTTTGGCATAAGGATTAGTACATTCATAGAGTAAATTGGAAAGTCCAGAAATCAGAAACATGTAGTCAACTGATTTTCAACAAATATGCCAAAGCAATTCAATGGCAGGAATGAATAGTCTTTTCAACAATAGTGTTGAAACAACTGACTGATCATCCATTTGAAAAGTTATGAAACTCCATTCTTACCAAACCAGTGATGAAGTACATTGGGCCTTCTCACTTTGTTCAAAGGACTGTGGTGAGGGATATGGTTGCTTTACTGGTGGGTGTGGTGTGGTATCATACATCTGAAGAGATGTGAGATTGTGCTTCTAAATCATAGTAAACAGTATTAATACAATTTTTGAAAAAAATTATTTGCTTGACATACACAATTACAAAAGTGACTGGGGTGGGCCCTCCCTGGTGGCATAGTGGGTTAAAGCACAGCACTAAAAAGTTAAAGCCACTTCTGTATGAGTTGGATCCCTGCCCTGGAGGTGATCCATATGATATGGCAGACCTCTCCTGATCCTTCCACTGCCCCCCTCAGGAGTGTACTTTGTCAGTCTGACTACTTTCTGAGTCACAGATTGAAAAGAGGACAATAAATACTTTCCTGTATGCATGTGTAAATATAAGTAAATGCATCAAACACACACACACGCATGCATACATATGGGTATACATTGAGAATATAGAAAGAACCAGTACAAGAAATAACAAAAAAATCCAACAACTCAGTTTTTTAAATGATTTATACTTTTTGTGTGGAACTGGAGTGTAGGCCAGAGGTGTGGGGGTTGAGAGAATTCATCAGAGACAGAGAGGAAAGCAGAATAGGCATATCTACTGAAATACTCTGCTAAGGGAAGCAGCAGGCGAGACAAAAGTCTGCTGCACTATCTGTGGGTTAATTCCTTAGCTATGGATTGAACTCAGGCCATAGAAATGATAGTGCTGAGACCTACCCCTAGGCCACTAGGAAGACCCCACAACCCAATTTTTTTTTTTAATGGGCAAAGTATTTGAAAAGGTATTTCAAAAGAGATACATGTATGTTCAACAGATGTATGAAAAGATACTTAATATCACTAGTCATTAGAGACTGAAAATAAAAACAGTTATATCACTAGATACCTAGTTAAATGACTGACATTTTGAAAGACATTACTAACTATTGGTGAGGATGTCAAGTGATCAGTTGACAACGTACAATGAGATAGTCTATAGCGGTAAAAAGATTACTGGTGCTTACAATAACTTAAATGAATCTCCAAAATATTATGGTGAACCAAGGAGCTAGACACCATGATTTCCATGTATAGAACTCTAATATGGGCCCAGAGTGCTAATGATCTACAAGAAAGGGAAATGATAAAATTTGGATTAATGAAAATGTTCTAGATCTTTATTGAGATGGTGACTACAAGTTTATACATTTGTAAAGTGTATCTATATTTTTAAAACAGAGGTACCCTGTTGTATGTAAATTATACCTGGATGAAGATGAAAATAATGGTATTTTAAAATTTTATTTATAGTTAATTTCCAAAGGGAATGTCCAGTCATAATTTCAGAATTAAGACCCAGTTGAAACTACATAAATATATTTCTAAACACTTAACTGCAGTTATCTAAATAGAAATATTTTGGCTTTTATATTTGTTTGTGCAGCAAATAGTAGAGTATGTCATTTAAAAGTATGATTGAATGTAGCAACATTTTGTAATTAGAGGAAAATCTTAATTATAAAAGCAAAATTAAGCAGTCACATTCAAAATAATGAAGTTAAATTATATAGGAATAAAATAATTATGGAGATATTTTTATTTTTAGAAAAAAAATAGGACCACATGTTAATGTGAAAGTGTTTAAAATGAATACTGTGATGAGCAAAACATACCATTGATAAGGATATATCATCAGTGTCTGTAGCTTGCAGTAAATAAATGACTTCACTGTTTTTTCTTACCCTAACTAATCCCAAAGATAGTTCTCTTTACCCCTTTATTGTTTGAAATCACACCTTCCCTAATACCACACAATGCTTTTGAAGTAGCTTTTACATTTATAAAGAGAAAAGTGTTGTGAAAATGACTAAATTCAATGGCTTAAGGAATTACAAGTTTGTATCCATTTTGTAAAGCCTCATAACTGTAATGTAGATTACAACTGTTTTTTTTTCCTTCTCTCAAAATAATAATTTTTATAGTCCTTTAATTTCCCCTTTTTCCCCTTTGGGCTTGTCTAAAGAAATAGCTCCACTCACCTTTGCTTCCCCCCCAGCAAGCCCTTGGAAGTCTTCAAGTGATATATTTCGAGGCTTGATGACTTTCATGAGATATCAAAGTTGGTTCCTTTTCTTATATTCCTTTTGACTGGAAAGTCTAATTATACTAGTCCTCCTTACCTTTTCTACAGATTTGTCATTGGGCGGGAAAAACCTGGACAAGTGAGTGAAGTTGCCCAGTTGATAAGTCAGACACTGGAACAAGAGAGGCGCCAGAGAGAGTTGCTAGAGCAACACTACGCCCAGTATGACGCTGATGATGACGAGGTGAGGTGCATTTGCAAGTGTTTTCCCCCTAAATTCCTGCTATGTACAACTCCTTTCTGGATGACACCTTGACAAAGTCTTTTCACTTTCTTTAGGGCAGTGTGTCTGCATACAATCTCACCTAAGAGAAATATACTTCCATTTGATACTAAGTTATGAAGTGTGAAAACGTTGGAATAAAATGCATCATGTTTTACCACCAGAAACATAAAGAGATTATTTGAAAGAAAGTAAATAAAAATACAAAGTGAATAATATTTTTTTTTATTTTAGAAGTTAGGTATATTTTTTTCTGTGCTTTATATTTGCAGAATATTGTCCCAAGTTTTGTCCAATCAATATGTAATGCTATTTCAACAAATCAGTAAAAATTTAAATGAAAAAACATACACACACAAACCTACAGAGAAAAGTACTAAAAATTTCTGAGTGTTTTCAGGTTTTTTTTTTTTTTCCAGGAAGAGAAAGTTCTTTGGATCTGCTCAGTATGATTTGTGCTAACATAATGCAGAACAAAGCTTTTCCACTAGCGCGTATTCCACAGAGTAGATACATATTGGAATAATTTCACATCCTGCTCTCTGTGGAAGATCAAGTAAATGAATAGAGGCTAACCCCCAAGTGAAAACGGCTCTCCGGAACCCTTGTGTTTTTTTAATAGAATACAGATGTGGTTCTATTTCTAATGTAAATGCCAAATGTACATTGATTTAATGGGACAACATGCTTTATTATAAGCATGTTTGAACATGCATATGTTTCATATTGGCATGTCCAAAGATCCATCAACAAAGCAGTTGTAGTATTTCATACTCCATAAACATAGTAAATATTCAGGTAAAACATATTTTTTATACCAACTGATGGAAAGACAGCACAACTTCAAATGCTCAACCTCTACTGATCTGAACATATTTCTTTAACAGAACTTGAATTGGTTCCTAGCCAGGACATACTGAAGATGAGTAAACAGACATTTGGATTTTTTCATGTATCTTTATTCTGTAATGTTTTAGCCCAAATTTATATTAATTTTCATCTATTTATTTTCTACTGAGGATATAGTCTCCATTTCTTATAGTAAAAAATTTAAATGTTGTATCACTTAGCCTTTGATCAAAAGTAATACTTTTAGAGTCTTATGTAAATGAATCAGTAGCTTAGAATTTTATTTACTTGATTTAGCTTTTCACTTGCAATGTCCATTTGAAATGCTTAGTGTTTTCTCATTGTATTGAGTTGTTATATATAAAAATATGTTGTTTTGGCTTTAAAAAAAGTAAATTCTGCATTTGAAAGTACTTGAACTTTCAATTCTTTGTACTAATATTTTGTTTTTTATCAAAGACCCTAATTTCCTTTGGCTGCAAGCCTATTTCAAGATCGCTCACTCTGCTTAGAAAGATTTTGGATTTAAGGTTGAGGGGCTATGGGTGATATCAAGTGACAAGAGGTGAAGCCAAGCTTTCTAGTCTTTTGTCATCCACAGTGTACTTGACTTTAGAGTTCAACATTTGGGCTAAATCTCTTAATCCTTCCCAGCTTCTAACTTTCCATGAGTCTGTGAAATAAAACATCAAATCTAGGAGGGTAAGAGGGAAATATGATAGTTGTTCTTAGGCTATGCAACTGACATTTTGAAATCTCATAGCAATGACTTTTCTCTATATTGAAGAATTGATCATATGCTTCCCCAGAAACTTTCAACTCAAACTCCTAAGCATTTTTTTTCTACAAGATTTCCCCTAATTTAGTAACTTAAATACATGCAAAAAGAATATTTCTTACTCAACACTTCTTTCACATATATCCTATGGATTTTTTTTTTCCTTACCAGTCTTTATAAGAAAAACAGAGTTGCTTTTCTCCTGAACAAATATATTTTGGGGTAAGGGAAGTAAATAAGCCTTCAGTGCTAGGAAATTTGCAAGGAACCATTCTTACATGATTCCGTGTAATTTTTGAAGAAGCCAGAAAGAATTCCTCCCCCCCCCCTTTCTATAATTGCAGCAACTGTGGTTTAATAGTTGCATAGCTAGTAATTGGCAAATTGGGATGGGTATTCCTGAATTTTTTGTAGTACACTACTGTTTTGGGGTAGAGGGAACAGATGGGTCTCTCTGTATTCAAGCACACACAAAATAACTGGGTAACAAGATATTGTAAAAGAGATTCCTGTTTTGCGTTATGGAGTTTCTTCCAATATATTCTGTGGTTGTTATATATTTCTAATAATGGAGGAATTAAGTATTAGAGAATTACCTTATTATAGCCATACCCTCTTTATAGCGATAAAAAGGAAGAATGATTGCATGTATAATTATTTTATCAAAAATTAGTGTTTTGCTTTAGGTTAAATTTTTTTTGTCTACAAGTTGTAGATATCTTGGAAATCAGGTGCCTGGCACTATGTTATCTTCACTTTATTGAAAAAGCTGAGGATCCTTTTCTTTTTTCTTTTTTTTTTTTTTCTTTTTTT